ACCAATTCTCTTGGATATTCTGTAAGGACCAATGTATCGGAGATTGAGCTTTCCTTTCTTACCAAATCTCATAACACCCTTCATAGGTGAAAACTTTCGATATACCCAACCATCAACTTCAAACTCCAGATTTCTTCTTCTAACATCTATATAGGATTTCTGACGGCTCTACGCTATTCTCAACCTCTCTTAAATTATTTTCACCTTCTCCATAGATTGATGAACTAAGTTTGGTCCTATCAACTCGGCTTCACCAACCTCAAACCAGCCAATAGAAGATCTACACCTTCGCCCATAAAGGGCCTTATAATGAGCCATCTAAATACTGGAGTGATAGTTGTTATTGTATGCAAACTCTATAAGAGGCAAGTGACATCCCAATTACCTTTGAAATCAAACACACATGCTCTTAACATATCTTGTAAGTTCCAAATAGTGTGATCTGCTTGATCATATGTCTAAGGATGAAAAGCAAAAGTAAGGTTTACCTTAGAACCCAAACCTTTCTTGAATGACTTCCAAAACTGAGCAGTGAATTGTGCACCCCTATCTGAAATGATGGAAAACTAGACTCCATGAAGTAGGACTATCTCATCTATGTATAAACTCACATAATATTTTGCTCAATTGATAGTCTTTACCAACAAGAAATAGGTTGATTTAGTCATCTGATCTACAATCACCCAAACCGAATCATGTTGTCTGCGAGATCACGGCAATACAGTAATGAAGTACATATTAATCATCTCCCACTTCCATTTCGGAAGAACTATATTATGAGCCACACCACATGGCCTTTGGTGTTCTACATTGACTTGTTAGCAATTTGGCCACTTAGCAACAAAATCTGCAATACACTTCTTCATACTATTCCACCAAAAGACTTCTCTCAAGTCATGGTACATCTTTGTGGAACCAGATGGATTGAATATCTGGAACTATGAACTTCTTCCATGATCCTCCCTTGGAGCTCATCCACCTTTGAAACACACAATCTACTTTGATATCTCAACACACCATCTCCCCCTTGTTCAAAAGTCATCACCTTCTGCTTATGAACATTTGCCTTTAGTTCAAATAAGATGGAGTCTTTGTCTTGTTTCTCCTTCACTTCTGATACTAATGATGATGCAACCCCGTTCATCACATCAAATCCACCTTCATTGGAATCTAACAAACAGAATCCCAAATGTGCAAGTCTGTAAATTTCCTCAGCCAATTATTTCTTACCTTCCTTGAAATGAGAAGTACTCCCAAGGAAAACATGTTCAAAGCATCAGCAACAACATTAGCCTTACCTGGGTGGTAGAGGATACTCATTTCATAATCTTTGAGCAACTCTAACCACCTCTTTTGCCTGATATTAAGCTCCTTCTGACTAAAAATATATTGCAGACTCTTGTGGTCGGTGAACACATCCACATAAATGTCATAGAGGTAGTGGCGCCATATCTTGAAAGCAAAAACTATTGTTGCCAACTCAAGATCATGAGTAAGGTAGCTCATCTCGTGAATCTTAAGATGCCTAGAGGCATTATCTATAACCTTACCTTTCTACATCAGCACACAACCAAGCCCCATTCTAGATGTTTCACAATAGACGACAAAAGGTACCCTCTAGTAGGGTCAACACTAGAGAAGTAGTTAATCGAGTTTTCAATTATTGAAAGCTTTGCTCACAAGTTTTAGACCATTGAAACTTAGTTGTCTTTTGAGTCAACTTATTCAATGGAGATGAAATAGATGATATCCCCTCGACAAACCTTCTGCAGTACCCTGCAGCACCAAGAAACTCCTTATATCAGTTGGGGATGTGGGTTTAGGCCAATTCTGCACTGTCTCAATCTTCTGAGTGTCGACTCGAATTCCTTCGCCAGACACAATGTGTCCTAAGAATGCCATGGATTCAATCCAGAACTGACACTTAGAAAACTTGTCATATAACTCTCGATCTTTAAGAGTTTGGAGGACTATGCTGAGATGACTAGCATGATCCTCCTTATTCCTTGAATAAATCAATATGTCATCAATGGACACGATAATAAACATGTCCAAATACGACTTAAATACTTTGTTCATAAGATCCATGAACATTACATGAACGTTAGTCAAACATAATGACATAACAAGGAACTCATAATGACTGTAATGGGTCATGAAAGCCATCTTTGGATGTCACTTTCTCTCACTCTCAACTGATGATAGTCATATCTGAGGTCCATCTTAGAGAAATAAGTGGCACCCTGAAGTTGGTTGAAAAGGTTGTCAATTCTCAGAAGGGGATAATTATTCTTTATGATTAACGTGTTCAATTGGCGATAATCGATACACATCCTAAGGGAATCATCTTTCATTTTTACAAATAAGACCGGAGCGCCCCAAGGGGAGATACTTGGTCGGATGAAACCCTTATCAAGAAGATCTCTCAACTACTCGCTTAACTCTCTTAACTCAGTTTGAGCCATTTTATATGGATAAATAGAAATAGGTTGAGTATCAGTAAGAATATCTATTCCAAAGTCTATTTCTCTCTTAGGAGGGACTTCGGGAAAATTATCTGGAAAGGCCTCAGGAAACTCACTCACAACTGGAACTAATTGAATAGGTGGTGTCTAAGCCTAAGTATTCCTCAATGACCGATAGCGTACAAGTACCGTGAGGGAAAGGTGAAAAGAACCCTATTTAGGGAGTGCAATAGAGAACCTGAGATCCGATGCGAACAATCAGTCGAAGGAGCTCTCTAGTGGGAATTCTGATCCCGAATAACTAAATAGCGTCAGTGAGGATGCCGTTTAGGTAATACTTTCAAAGTGACTCTCGACGGGAGAATCCAGGCTATTCAGGAAGAATCGCAGCAATTCCCCAATCCTAACGAAAAAGTTTTGAAGGAGGCCATAACATCAAAAATCAGGAGAATCTTCCTAATCTTTGACTTTGAAGTAGGAATGGTCACAAATAGAGAGAAAAAAGAAGAATCGAACTTATGAATCTATTTTCTTTGTGATTTTGTGGTTAGTCTTTGAATCTAGAAAGAATGGAAACATTGAATTCGCCAATTTGCGAACTTTTCTTTGATTCTTGAATTTCTAGATAGCCGGATAGCAACGGTCTTCTTCTAGCTCCTCGCGGATTCTCTGTATTCTCTTCCGAACAGCGGATCGTTCTAGCGATAGGCTCCAAGCGCGATTCTGATTCTCAATTTGGTTTTCTGTTCTGGAATGAATCTGTTCTAAAGAAAGACCTGCCTGTACAGCGCATCCCGTGGGCGGCCTTCAAAGGCTATCATTCGTAGGACGAGACGCTAACCTACGCCCGTACATTCCAACCTGCCTCCTTGGGACTTAGCTCTGAAGATGAATTCCCGGTTAGCCGATTACCTTGCCCGGTTAGGAGAACAGTTAGAGGTAGGAAAAGATGCCGACACCGAACAGTTAACTCCTGAAGGAGAAGGGGCTAACCTATCCAACAAATAAGCTGGATCCTCTGGAGTTAGATCGGCTGGAGTAGCTACTTACCTTACTGGTGTCCGAAGAAGTCTGTTGGTACAGATGTCATATGAGATGTGAAAGCGATTTCCGACTTAAAGACTACTAGTTGAAGTAGAGCCGACTCTAACATTCGACCAGAGAGGTCAGTGCTGGGAAAGCAAAGAATGGAATGTCTGTTCTAAAGAAGAAGGTTGCTTGATTATTCTTTTCAGGAGCAAGCCATAAGGACTCTGTAGATCGCGAGAATGCATGTTCTGATGCTTGCACGGGCTCATCTGCTTCCAACAATCCAACAAAGTGAGTTTCACAGAAGGGAGGTTAGCGAGATCCCAACTCTGAGGAAAGAAAAGAAGCTCGACCATGAAAAGGCAAGTCGGGTTTCACCACATATGTGTGGTACCCGGCCCCACGCAAACGTGGACTCCCATGGCTTTCTTGGAAAAGAGGCGAGTATCCCTCTCTTTCTATTAGCTCCTGTAGCTATGGGCATTTAGGATAATCTATGTATCTTAAAAGGATCGTTAGAAGTCTTATCCTCTATCTTTTATCCCCCAACATCGTGGTTGTTTGAACGCCTCTATTGTTATCTCCGGACGCTGCGGACGCTAGTTCTCATCCGTTGTTCTCTCTTAACGTCCGGTCTTCAAAATCCTGTCTTTGAGGAAGTCCCCCCGACTTGGATTTAGGGGGCTCACTTGCCCAATGGATGTTCCAATTACTAAGCTGACTACCTTCCCTGCCCTGGTAGCTCTTCAAGTGAGTTTTCTTTGCCTGCCCTCCATGACTAAAGTGAGTAATGGGATAAGGTTCTCCCTCCCCTCCTAGTAGTTCTGGATCTCTCGATCCAGGGCGCCTTTCCTTCGCTCTATTCCCAAGTCCTGGGCTAAGCTGAGCTTCGAAGTCGGGCTTTCTTCCTAAAGCCAAAGTCCGGCCTCTTCCAAGTGCTTTCCTTTCCTGCATTCCTTCCTAAAGGCAGGACTGGGTGGGTTAAGTTGCTCCCTCTTTCCTCTGTACCGAGCTAAAATAAAGAATGATGAAACCTGTGGCCAGGCATAAATAGAGGCATTCCTCGGGTGATTTCATGCTTCTGCTTCTTCCTGTGGATTCCCTACCCAAAGGGGAGGGGTACGGGACATAGGGACTCAAGCCAAGGCCTTTTTTTCATTCTATCGTGCCTATCTATGTGGCTCCCGACTCTAGTTCTATCATTTGATACTCGATCTGGCTAGACGCCCTTCCCTATGGAGGTTCTGTGTAGGATTTCAATCTGAGATTATATTAAAACAAATAAGACTCTAGGTATAGCGTTGCGTCTGCATCGTATGACTTTTTCTTTTTAGTACAAGTCTGACTTAAAAATACAGTTATTGAGCTTCCCCTGCCTACGAGAAGGGGTCTCCCCCTATCAACTATCTTATTCAACAACAGATTCTTTGAAATTAAAAGTCTTAGTTCATAGGTTGCTCTAGATAATGAGAAAGGAGAGTAGCCCGGAGTGCAGATTAAGGGAGCACCTGGTGTGCTTCTTTATGAAAGATTCACCGGGCGGAAGTCCAATTGAGTATAGTGTGTGCCACCTGTTTGCCGATGGATAAGCGAACCGTACCGAGCCTGCCACTTCCTAACCCAGACTTCCAAATCTATCTGATTAGCCCATGGGCTGAATTGGTCCTTTAGGTGGGATTGATCCCTGTACCCCTTCTCCCTCGGTTAGTATTCGGATAGTGTTCACACAACCGTCCTTTCTCTTTTCTCTTTTGATTGGTGTTCCCTATACTCCCATTCTCCTTTTGGTGGAATTCTGTCTCACCTCCAATTAGCTTTTGGCCTCTATTCCGGAGGTCGGGCTTCATTTCGTAAGCGTAAGCTATATAAAGAGAGCCATTCTATGACTATGAAGGGTAAGCGAAAAAAGGAAGTTCCTTGACCCGATTCTCTATTCAATTCCACAATCAACTCCACAAATTGAATATCTTATATAATTAATATAAGGCTCCAGAAAGAAAGGCAAGCAGTAGGCCTGGTTCACCAGGTTCTACCACTGCAGGGCCCAATCATAGTCAAAAGCGGAAAAGAGAGGATTTGCAAGAAAAAGTCGAATAGACTGACCTACGAGCATAAGAAAGAAGAGGAAATCTAATTATGTATGATGAGCTTGAGTCGAGTCACAAAAAGGGCTCATCATAGCCCTTTTAGAGTGACTTTCACGGTTATGATGAGCTTTTTTCTCCTATTTCCAAGATCGAATTCCAGTTTTTTCTTATGTAGTGGAAACGCCCTACAATCTGAAGTTTTACGCTTCAGGCAAGAAATGTTCTTGGTGGATGCAGGACTTGGGACCCCCAGAATTTGTATGCAAGATGAGCCTACAGGGGTGCCAATCAACCGAGCCACCAGGTTTGAGAATAGGGTGGGATTCCTGGATCTAGTGGCCGGTGAATCACTGATCAAAGAGCAGATTTTGGAGAGATTCTTCATCGATCTAGTGGCCGGTGAATCACTGATCAAAGAGCAGATTTTGGAGAGATTCTTCATCGATCTAGTGGCCGGTGAATCACTGATCAAAGAGCAGATTTTGGAGAGATTCTTCATCGATCTAGTGGCCGGTGAATCACTGATCAAAGAGCAGATTTTGGAGAGATTCTTCATCGATCTAGTGGCCGGTGAATCACTGATCAAAGAGCAGATTTTGGAGAGATTCTTCATCGATCTAGTGGCCGGTGAATCACTGATCAAAGAGCAGATTTTGGAGAGATTCTTCATCGATCTAGTGGCCGGTGAATCACTGATCAAAGAGCAGATTTTGGAGAGATTCTTCATCGATCTAGTGGCCGGTGAATCACTGATCAAAGAGCGAGCAGCCGCCAGGTTTAATGATTTGGTGGGATCTACAGATGTAGTGGCTGGTGAACCGCTTCTTCTTCTTCCACGAAGATTCAGACAAAACCGAGCTTGGATGGAACTGAACAAGATTGAGCGAACGAAGGCAAAGATCAAAGGCTTTATTATTGAGAAAGTAAAAGGAGGTTATTCAGTAGCCATCGCAGGTTTCATTACTTTTCTTCCATTCCGCCGCAGAAGGAAAAGGATATTGAATAATCAATTCACCGTTGAGAACATTAACCCCAAAAAGAAGAATATTGTGGTCTTCTAACCCAAAAAGAAGAATATTCTGGTCTTTGAAGGAATGAAAAAAAGGAGAGACTGGTAGAGCTCCTCTTTGTCAGCGGCATTCTACCTTCTATCTATCAACCATTTCATTATGGAACTTTCTCCCGACAACAATCATTTTGAAAATAATGTGCAATTCATAGCCCTCGATGATCGGGCAAATGTGATAGCAAATTTCTGCGATCAAGTATCTAGAAACATGGATGCAACTGGTCTTCAGTTGCCACCAGCATGGACGTCGGTAAGAGAGCTTGCCGAGCATGTCTGGCATGTTAATGATGAAGAACTTGTGACTATTCCTTATGTCATCCATCTCACAAATGAACTGGCCCGTGAGGACTTTCAAAGTGGATGTATATGGCAGGAATTTGTTGATGAGTTGGAATTGATTGTCCACAGTCCCCTTGATCAATTTGAAATAATTCCATTGATTCCTATGAAAATAGGAAACTTATATTTCTCATTCACAAATCCATCTTTGTTTATGCTACTAACTCTCAGTTTGGTCCTACTTTTGGTTTATTTTGTTACTAAAAAAATGAAAAAGAAGAAAAAAAATGGCATGGGTTTGGGAGCCAAGCCGAAGCCTCCACCGCAGCTTCAACTGCAAAAAAAATAATTAGAAAGACCCCGATCCTTATTTTAGTTTTTTCTTTACTCTTTCTCATTATCACAGTAGTTTTGATAAGAAGAAGAAGAAAAAAAAGTATGATTCTATTTTTCATTTTTTGTTTCCTCCTTTCCCTTTTTAGTTGCCTTTTGAGATTCTTCATTATGGACTTTTTTTTGGCTTTTCTAGCACTCCCCACAGCTTTTATCTTATTTGTATCGTCGAATGAAAGTGATAATTCGACTAGAGAATCAGGAAGTCTTCCCCGCCTGGAATCTGAATCGAGTTCGGAATCACTCTAAACTTTTAGAAACGTTATTGCCGCGGAGAATGAGGCGGAAATATATCGGCGTATAAGACTCTTGGAGAATGGTACGTACTATAATCTACCGCCTCAGAACACTCCGGGAGACTATGCTGCCCTTGTTCGCGAAAATGCGCCACATTTATCTTTATCGCCGAATTGCAATTTTCGCTCGATTTTTGATCAAGAGTATTTCGAACTTCAAGTATTAGAGAGAAAGGGCCTTGTCCAAGACAAACTCCTTAACTTAATGCTTGAAGAAGAGAATCTTTCCTCTATTATTATATTAATGAATCCCCTTACTCAAACATAAGAAAGGAGGCTTATCACTTTCTTGAAGACAAGCTTCAGCCTGTTGGCGATCCACGCCATGCTTTTCAGCGAAATCTTCTTGAGGGGAGTCTTCGCTTTTTTTTACAGGATTTGGATCAACGGGGTAAAGATTCCAGTGTTTACCAAGATTTTTTGAATTATTTTATCAATTCTGATTGATTGCCTTTTTTGATCCCATGCTTTCCGTCGGTCAACAACCAACTAAATCTATACTTCTTCACTACTCGTACAGGCTTGACGGAGTGAAGCTGTATTGAGGGAATCGTTTTGTCTCAATCAATCAAGAATGCCTCAACTGGATAAATTCACTTATTTCACACAATTCTTCTGGTCATGCCTTTTCCTCTTTACTTTCTATATTCCTATATGCAATGATGGAGATGGAGTACTTGGGATCAGCAGAATTCTAAAACTACGGAACCAACTGGTTTCACACCGGGAGAACAAGATCCGGAGCAACGACCCCAACAGTTCCGCATCTCGTAAGGCCAAGAGTTTTAGCACCGGTGTATCCTATATGTACTCAAGTTTATTCGAAGTATCCCAATGGTGTAACGCCGTCGACTTCTTGGGAAAAAGGAGGAAGATGACTTTAATCTCTTGTTTCGGAGAAATAAGTGGCTCACGAGGAATGGAAAGAAACATATTCTATTTGATCTCTAAGTCCGTACATAGCAATCCTGGGTGGGTCATCACTTGTAGGAATGACATAATGCTAATCCATGTTCCACACGGCCAAGGAAGCATCGGTTTTTAATCTCATTATGACTTGGTCGTTCGGAAGAGCAATTAATTCGATCAGAATAGTGGAATGGAAGGCAGTAAAAGAATGAAATACTCCTTTAACAATAGAGTCCTTCGCTCGGACTAAGTGATAGATTCACCCCTTAGAAACTAACTTTCTGGCCTTAATGTATGAAATGAAACGACCCTTGGGCACTGTTGAACTACTCTTCCCTCTAAAACTGATTCATTAAAAAATTAAAACTTGACTAATCGAGTTCTACAATCAATTAAGGATTAACAAGCATGAAACCAGTTCATACCTAGAATGACATCAAAATCCACCATGTTTAGCTCAACTAAGTCGGTCATGGTGTCTTTGTGATAGACAAAGATGGTACAATCACGGTAGAATTTTTCTGCTAGAATAGACTCACCAATAGGTTATGAAACACTGAAGGGTTCAAGAAGTTCTTCAGGGGAAATGCCGAACCTCATAGCTACATAAGGAGTCACAAAAGACAAACTCACAGTTGGATCAAGTAAGGCATAAACATCAATAGAAAAGACTTTAAGCATACTAGTGACAATATCTGGTGAGTTCTCCTGATCTTTGAGACTAGCCATAGCATACAGACGGTTTACTCCTCCACCTATCCTTGAAGTAGCTCCTCTCGGAGCAGCTCTAGCTACTGGAGCCGCTAAAGAAAATTGGGCTCAGTTTTCCCATTACCTTGCATGTTCTTAAGGCATTCTCTCATAAAATGACTTGTCTAACCATACTTGAAGCAGCCATTGGAGCCATCACGACATGCTCCTGGGTGATTCTTAGCATATGTGGGGGTCCAAGTTGCCTCTTATGCCACACTACCCTGAGATTGAGTGGGTTGAGCTCTGAAATTATTATTCTGGTGGTCATTCTTGTTCCTTGGTGGAGGTGCACTAGCTGATGATGAGCATGTCCAAATGATCTCCGCTGAAATGGTGATCGATTCCCATTACCGTTTGTCAGCTAGCCAGTTTCATAACTTGTTGTCTTGTCCCTCTTGTTGCGAAACTCTTCTCTGTCCTTTAACTTATTTTCATCAACCTACTGTACATGAATCTTGAGCCTCGATATATCCATGTCCCCCATCAACATAGTTGTCTTACTTTTCTTACTCGGTAAGCGGGATATCCTGAGCACGAACAAACTCATCATGCTCCTCATATCCGCCACCGTCTCCGGAGCATAGCGGGATAGTTGAGTAAACTTGAGGTTGTACTCTTTCACACTCATAGCTTCCTATTTTAGATTCAAAAACTCTCTCACCTTAGATTCTTTTAGCTCTTTGGGAAAGAAGCACCCCCCAAGTAGGCATTCTAAAACATAGCCCAACCCAAAAGTGGTGCCCTCTCTGCCCTGTTCTTCAATCATATTATATCCTAGCAACACTTTTGAGCTGATATAAGGCTAACTTCACACGTTCTACATCAACAACATGCATGACCTCGAACTCATTCTGAAAATCTTCCACAAAGTTCTCTGAATCCTCAATGATCTTCGACCCTAGGAACTCAAGGGGATTCATCCTTAAAAACTCACAGATTCGAGATGTATCAGTCGCATAATGACGACCCGCTCCTTGTTGACCAGCATTATTTGCCATAACCTGAGTCATAATTTGAATTACATTCCTAAACTCAACATTGGTAATATCCTCTAAGAGGCTTGCACTTCTGGTGCATTGGGAGCTTCTTGACCTTGAGGATTAACATTCCTCCTAGCAAGACGTCAAACAGCTCTTCGTGGAGGCATGATATGAAAAGACACGCGAAATCACGAGTCAAAGGAAACTTTTATAGAGTTGAACTCTATCGCACGAACATAAGTAAGAAGGAAGTGAAAGTTCCTAAATATCGTAGCTTTCTCATTATAGATGTGGCACTGTTGACGCCGATAAGAAAGACTCTACTATACACGACTTCATAGACACCCTAAGACTCTTGAAATATGTGCTCTGATATCAAGTTTGCCACGCCCCGAACCTACACCCTGAACATGACCCACACTCGAGAACCATTACTTGTCCCAAGCAAACCCTTGGCTTGGCTGACTACTTAGCAGAAGACTAACTCAATCATTTAAAAGCTTAAACCAGAAGTAAATCATTAAATTTGTAAAATGCTCAACTCATACGGTTTGAAAAAATACTTAAGGCAATAATAATAGTTTGCAAAACATCTCAAAGGAAAACAAAGTACTGAGAGACTCCTCAACTCTATCTATCTATGAAACCTCTATAGTTCAACATAGATGTCGGGACAAGATGCATGAAACCCTAAAACGACTAAACTGAAAAGAAAAATGGAGTCCTTCGAAATGCAAGGAGGCTCACGAAAAGTTAACCGGAGAGAAACGTGATCTCAATGAAGCACTTGTTGATAATCCCGAACACCTGTATATGCATCATAAAAAGATGCATGTCAAATGACATTAGTATATTGAATGTACGAGTATGTAATAAAGCTGAATGAATCAATAACTAAACTAATAAGGCTGAAGTTACTCAGATCAACTCAATTCAAAGCATAGTAAAAGATCAAATGTTTAAAGTTTTACAACTAAAAGAGGATAACTCAAGGATGTATTAGAAAATACAATAAGACACTCTTTAAACTATTAGGGAGATATTCTAATCGACAATTATCACTATGAGCAACGTGATGATACATCATCTCACCCACACTACTAGAACTGTCTTATACCTTGTCGGGATATAGGACACCTCAATTAAGTGGATCCACTAAAGCTCTACTCAAAAGTAATAAGGAGTCATCTAAAAAGTACATTTTTTTACCCATGGTGGCAACATGATTTATGATAAATGTGAGTTGTCTGAACTCATCCTCATATCGATGTTCAATGCTACTCCTAATAAATATATATACTCATGCTCAAGTATAAATATTATTTCGCTATTTTGAGGTAATTACTCAAAAGATCCTCTTTAAGAGGCAGTGTCTCAATTATCTCTGGAAACTCTTTATGAAAATAACAGTTCTTTTTCTCAATGTAAAATGATACATTTAGGAATCAATTAGTCCCATCATACTTAAATCATTCTTTAAACTCTACTCAAAACTTGTCTTTACTTTCTCAAAAATCAATTTAAGACAGAAGAGTTTGGTTAAAAGATTCTCAATAATAACTCTAGGGTTCATGCTGAAAAATAGACATGAACAATCAACTCAAAATTCTCAATGCAAGATATAGCAACTCAAAAATCAGGAATAGAATTTAGAACTCAACAATGAAACTCATCTCAAGAATTATTAAAACTAAGGATATACCCTAGATTATTTTTGACTGATAGGAAGTAGATTTAGGGCATGAGGACGAACTCAATCCATCACTATGATAGCCTTACAT